ATCCCACTTATGACCGTCCCTACTGTAATTCCTCAGTCACTCAAAATTCGGCCCTTTTGGTTCCTCCCTCGCCGTTTAACCCTACCTTCGTCCCTCCCATTATTACTTTTACGTGTGTCCTCCTTACTGTTCCCCTTTTATGTCTACCACGTTTTCCTTTAATGGTTACGTACGTCACTCTCTCTGTTGCCACAATTACAGTTCTCCGTCTTTCCATACCGTTCTTCATTACTGTTTGCTTATCCCGCGTACGTATTAATTGTTTCAAAAGGTTTTACTGCAGAGGACACTTACCTTTTTCCTTCATAAGGGGACAACAATAGGTAAGGAAGCCAATGCGAAGCCGGGCTTTCGCGCTAGTGAATACTATTAACAGCTTATAGGAGTTCTTATGGACTCATCTATGTATATACGTCTTTCTAACAGGAGCGGAAGTCAGAATCTACATTTTTGCCTATAATTGAACCACAAATCTGCCTGCGCTATGTAAATTATACGTCTGCCATCGTTAAGATAGATCATTAACACCTGCTCGACAAAGTTATCAACACTGCCTTTTCAGGAATTTAATTCACATTCATATATACATTGAAATGTGGATGGACTGCCTCCTACATGAGATTGTTGCAAAGAAACCTCTTCGGAGTTCATAAAACACTTTGTGAGTATCCACTCAGTCTTTCTGTAAACGAGTTCTGCCTACAGTCTCCTAAATCTAGGCAAAGCACACTGCTCTGAGAAACAAGCTTATCAGACACAAATGACTTCATGCATCTATGCATGAAATGTCCAAACAGCACAGGATTTCAAATCATACGGCCGCCCAGGCACCAACAGCAATGGCCTCGAAAACTATTCCATATGTGAAAAATATACCTGAATTTGCGTTTACAGCTTGCACACCCTAAGGACGGGATTGGCTCCCTTGATAAAAATCGTGTTGTTCTAAAGAATTCCATGTGATTTTTGTTATACAGTTGACTGTGCCCAAACTGGAAGTCAGTCTCAATCTGCATTCATGAACATCAGTTAGCGGTCAGAAGGCGGAGGCAGGTTACCACATGAATCCCGAAAACTGGGCACAAATTTACATGTGCGAACAGGCGATGGGGTAGCATTTGCTCAATCAACAAAGACCGAGAACTCCGGGAGACAAGGTAAGACATGTATCAACTGACAGATCGATTTGCATGCCGCATACGAATTCCTCAAGGCAAAAATTAAATGCATATAGCCAACCACAAAGTGGTGGCAAAATACGAGTTACGCGTATTTGTGCGGATATCACCCACATATAAGAGGCCAGTCCGATCCCGTTGTTTAAGTGTATTTTTGTTGTTTAACTGTGTTTGCAGTTACCTCTCAAGTTGTTCTACTCCATTACGTATTACAAGATTCTATGCGACTGGCTGCGGAAACCCTAGATTGAACTCTATGGCACAACGGGATAAGCATGGTCTCCAACTAAAACAAGAGTTTTATTTTCCTAACGTTTCGAATTCTGTCGGAAATCCCTAACCATAGGTAATGGTAGGTTAGTCTGAGACATGCACAGATAGGGGTGAAACATGCAGGATTTGGCGTTCCCATACTGCGTACTGAAACATTGCCTGAGCTAGAGAATCAGTCACGTGGGAAGAGCCAGGACCAGCAACAACCCTCACGACAGCGAACAAAATTGTCGCGCAATTACCAAGCCCGCATCCGACACAGACAAGGAAATCGTGGCCATTAAGTAGTCGAACGCGAATTTCCAAGCCATCACTGCACGAATTAAGACCCAAGCGGTGGCTACAGGTGTGGATACTTATATTACGCAGGTGGATGACGGCTACGAACTATAAATACCGTGCAATCTGTGCATGTTTCACACCTATCTGTGGATGAGTCAGAATAATTCACCGTTACCTATGATTAACGATTCCCGACGGAATCCGAAACGTCAGGAAAATAAATCTCTTGTTCCAGCAATCACATCTTCTCCTTCTGAAATGCTCCCCAATCGTATGGGTGAGCACCCTGCCATAATATATCCAAAAGAGTACAAGTGTCCGTCTGGATCAAAATATTCGGATAATTGCTGGCTGGTGAATGTTGTTTACAACCAGTAGCATAGACTGAAAAGGGAAGCTTATCCAGCGGACAGCCGGATTAAGAAACATAGGATTCTAAGCAGGCTTTATGATGTGGAAACAAAGCTCCGTTTGAGGTCTGTTGGAACCAAGTAAAGGAAAACTACCGGCCAAAACATACTGTAGAGAAACGCCGTTATAGTCTTCAGTAAAGTCCTGATCGTCGAACGTGAGCTTTACGTCGAAGAAGAGGACCTTTTCGCTGTCCGATGGAAGCCCAACCGCGATGCGTATCTCCGGGTCGGTGAAAACGACAACAGCTTTGCGGTGGGAGAGTAAGCTGAGATTGTACTTGAAGAAGGCGGGTTTTACACGAACGAATGACTCAAAATCCTAGAAATTCGGGAGTACAGAGAAGAGTCGTTGATAGAACCGAACCAGTATGTTACAAGTTTCTTCTCATACACGTAACTGGAAGTAAAAAACCACCCAATCGAAGGCCTATAGACACACCGTTAAGAAATGGAGCTCAGTTATATTCAGTTGTAATTTTGGGCATAAACTGACTATAAGCCCCCAATCCACCGTACTGAACATGTCTGTCTGTTAAATTACATTGAAATTAGGGTTACGGTTGGAGTTAAGGACGGGCATATGGCCAAGAATCAACTGTCGGTTGCAGGTTAAGTTTAAGTTATAGGTTATAGGTTAGGACAAGGGCATATTCATATCTCTTGCGATTTCACACTTGGCCTTGCTATATCCCCGTGGGCGTTCCCTTACCGCGACCTCTCCAGGGGAGGCACATTACCAATTCTGAATAAACTTTGAAGTATCTTCGAAGATAAAAGTGACAAGGGGTTTAAGAGACCCTAGGTTATCACACTTCGTTCGCTCAATCAAAGAAGTAGTATTATGCACGTCACTAATTGCCTCCATCCTTAAGACTGTGTGTGTGTGTGTTTGTTCGACCATCGCAAGCAATGACATCCACCATTTGCGCGAGGGCAGGGACGGTGACTGTGGTCAGTTACATTGAAATTAGACGCGCCGCCATCTACCCCACAATAAACCCTCATCCGCTTCAACCCGTGACAACACAAAATCGAGATGACTGAGCAGGAAGCAGGCGTAAGCCGCTTTGTCCAGATGCAGCCAGAAGCACTGCCTAAGCTAGTCGTTAGTGGTATTAGACTTTCCACGGGTACTACAGCACTGTCCACCCTCACTCACCTATGGTAGGTGTGTAACCAGCCTCTAGTAAGACAGGCTGGTACTGTTACTACCACTACTGCTATTTCTTATACTACTAACTACGGTGTAGCTGAGCGATAGTATTTGCTGGTACTATTACTGACGGTTTTGTAACTCAGAACTGACACTGATAAAAGTCAGTACTGGGTTCATATCCCCTCAATCTCAACAAGAAGTGTAGTAGTACGGGTGCTAGCAGTGGTGCCACCATTTGTCAGAGCTGACGCTGATAAAGCCAACGCTGGGTCTCATACACCCCTGGTCTCAGAAAGGAGTGTGAATCTGTGTTTAAACTATTTTGATTAGGTGCATGCTGGGGGCCTTGAGCACAAGAGTGTTTGCCTTGGTTTGCACACTCACACCTCTATCCATGGAGCTGTACGGACTAAGATATTGCTGCTTTACGTACGTGCCCATGCTAAAAATGCTAATTTCTTGTAAGCATGCTTACTAAGGCCAGTATGTAGCATAGTATAGGTACTGCGTGTATGCCTTTTTAAGAAGTCGCACCCAGTATGCACCACAATCTTTGTGAAGTAATAATGAGTAGCATTAGAATAATAATAAAGCGTTTGTCAAGTAATGCACAAGTCCTACCATACCCTCATGTCGTGCAATTTGTCGTCTACGGAATACATAGATGTCTACTAAAGTACCCATCTATAGGAGTTAAGGCTAAGACGATTAACGCTAACACCTACAAGCTTCGAGGCCCGGTTCCTTAGAATATTGGGAGAAGTCTTGGGAAGGCCAGAGTAGAAGGAAGAGTTTATTGTGTACAC